TATCAATACTTCAATAATTCAGTTCAATTACACCATTCATATACTGCAAAAGATACAACTCCAAATTAGTTGCAAGCAACGAGCACGAAACGATTCAGTCCTTCACTAACCGGTGATGCAACACGAATGCGATGAACACAATTCGTATCCTCTTCACAAATATTCCTCACAAAAATGTCACCGCAACAACAGTATGCGTTAGTCAATGAGCACTTGTAATTTCGGTGAATATTATCACCGGACGCCGCCATATCAAAACAATACGCTTTCTCAGCGAAACCACTGATATCAGCCAGTTTCGATGCAAAATTTTTGCACTTTGAGATCATTTCGTGCTGTCTATTAGTATCACCGTCAGTAGTTGCCTTTTGCGATGGTGATGATGAGATTGATGTGGAGTCACCAGAATACACCAAAAAGGATGATGCAGAGCTGTTCGGCAGTGTCCATGAGACTTTTGGTCGTTCATTTCTACTAGTTTCATTCTTTTTTGCGATCAGTTTACACCACTCATCGAGAAAATTCCATTCTGTTCGCTGCGTTGCTGTCACAGACTCCCTTGAATGACAACCCTCATAAATCTCACGGCTATACTGGATTATTGCATTCGTTATTCCATCGCTTTTAGCTTGAATTCGACGGCTCCTTAATAGACCATTGTCGTTACTCTTATTTTTGGGAACACCGTCGTCATGTGGTTGTGAAGGACACAAAACGAAATATTGCTGAGGGTAGAGTCGGTAATAATAAGCGAATTTTTGTTGCTGTTGCTGTAATTGTTGAGCAATTGAAAGCATTATTTGACTCGAATTGGAAGCTGGGAAGGTGATGAACAATCCACTCTTCTGAGTGCAACCATTTGCACAGCATACGCAGTCAGAGAGTACCAATAGCTCTCTTCAGTGAAATACTAACACCTAACTAACTTCGTCACAATACCGTCAAGGTGATGACGATGCTTATCACAACCGAATTTGTTCTCGTTTTCGATTTTATCGTTGGTGCACCAAAACGATGGCGCTGTTGAATCACATCCATATGACAAACAGAGGATATTTCAGATTATGAAATGCTACTGTGCACTAGGGTCATTGGTTAATATCGTACAGTCGACGAAATACATCACCATTTGATAGATGACAATGACAAACAGATACATTCATA